GCTCACGTCGTCGGCGGCGCACTATCAAGTGACCGTCGCATACCAACACCATCGCCGCAGCAGCGACTGTAGGGGAGACATTCGATTGTTATTCTCCCACACGGGTACGACTCTCCTCTTTTCACAAACATCTGCGCAGGCGACACCTTCCGGCGTCGCATTCGCCACATCCTTCACATCACATCACCTCGATTTCACCTCCGCGATCCTGCCGACCCTGACATCGAGCACAGACTGCCGCATCTAAGACTTGATCGACCAAAGGTTTCTCTCACCAGTCGTCAAGCAACCCACGAACATCACCGTTCAAATCTCTTCACTCCGCGCCGCCACCATGGAGCACGGAATTGTCACCCACCCTTCCACCGCCCAGCAGGCTAAGGCCTTTACCGCTCCCGCTTCCTTGTCCTTCCCAGGTGGTGCTGGCGACCTCACACCACCTTCATCTGAGAAAGATGGACAACAACAGACAAATGGCGCTTTTGGATTCAACGGCCAGCAAGGAACAAACGCCGCTCAAGCTGGCAACGGGGTGACTCCCGCAACTCCTGCTGCGACTCCGGGTGCTGGTGCTGGTCAGGGTGTCTCAGGCATCGTGCCAACGCTACAGTAAGTATCACCTTGCTTGTAGTTTACACGTGTGAACGCGGTTTAACCATTCCGGTAAAGGAACATCGTCGCCACGGTGAACCTTGACTGCAGACTGGATCTGAAGACGATCGCGCTGCACGCTCGTAACGCAGAGTACAACCCAAAGGTACAGACACTCAAGTATCACTTGCTTGTCTGATCTTGACTAAACTTTGTTTCTAGCGTTTCGCCGCTGTCATCATGCGTATCCGCGAACCGAAGACCACCGCTCTCATCTTCGCCAGTGGCAAGATGGTCGTCACTGGTGCGAAGTCTGAAGACGATTCCAAGCTCGCATCCAGAAAGTACGCGCGTATTATCCAGAAACTGGGCTTCAATGCCAAGTTCACCGACTTCAAGATCCAGAACATCGTCGGCTCTTGTGACATCAAGTTCCCTATCCGCCTGGAGGGTCTGGCTAGTCGCCATCATAACTTCAGTTCTTATGAACCTGAGCTTTTCCCTGGCTTGATCTACCGAATGATGAAGCCCAAAATTGTGAGACGCGTCACATTCTCCTCATCACAACCACTGCTAACCGTCGTCAGGTGCTTCTTATCTTCGTCTCGGGCAAGATCGTCCTCACTGGTGCCAAGGTCCGTGAAGAGATCTACCAAGCCTTCGAGCTCATCTACCCTGTGCTCTCGGACTTCCGCAAGGTCTGAGTCACATCTCTTCCGGCACGCTGTACCAACATTACTCGTTTTCGGATGTACTATTGCATCTTCTCGAGGCGTCGTGCCCGCCTCAACACGCTTTGACTGCTCTCGACCTGGCTTTGACTACGTATTAGCCACTTCGACTAGCAGTCATCGCTATTGTCCTTTTTCCGTTGCATTGCATGGCGTGGAGTCTCGGTTGCATAGCTTCGCGCATGGAGGCTTTCGGGCGGCTTTTCCCTTTTTCCTCAAAATTGTTCATCAAATCCCTTTTCTCTAGAAAGCCGCTTATGCATGTCATTACATGGACGGCATAGAGCGCAGGATTTTTACATCGGCGTTGACACTCATGAAAGCATGGCGTTGCTGCTTTCGGGAGAGGGGAGGGAACTTTATGGTAAAAAATTGATCACTTTTCGCAGCAGAATGGTTTGACGAATGGGGGCGTGCGGTTGGAAGCAGTGAGGAACAATGGCGACGCTTCTATCACGGTTCGTGCCCCTCGCTTTGAAGCAGGGACTACCGTGTCGAATGAAAGACAGATGACTTAGGCAGTATCTTAATACACCTTCGTTGTCAAGCATTGTGCAGTCCATGTGATACTCTACCAGTACCACTTCTGCAACACTTCAAGCTACAGTATCAGTACGCTCGTCAACTTCGTGAAGTTAAAAAAGTACTTCGATGCTCATTCTGAGATCAACGAGAGATGAGCATCGTAACCTTTCGCCTACCTTCGTCGACCTTTGCTACCCGCTCTGATTTCGGCCGCACTATTCTACTCCCCTCTAACCGTGCCGTCAACAGGTGTGGATCGAGCATAGTCTAGACCATGGCACGTCCTTGTGCTCTTGCGGATCACAGCACCTCAAGAAGGACCTGTATATCTTGGAGGGAGGAGGAGTTTCAGCCTTGGCAGCGGAGTGGCTCCTCGTCTCACCGCGCTGCATCTCTCCTCCCGCGCTCCCTTCGACTCCACCTGTAAACTAACAACAACATGGAGAAACAACCGCCCGCAAAGCGAAGACGTCTGGTGACTTCTTGCTCTGAGTGCTACCGAAGGAAACAAAGGTGCATACACAAGTCGCTCCCTTGCGCAGCTTTCAGGGCGAGTGATCTGACTACTACTGCTCAGTGCGATAGGCGGAGGCCATGTAACATCTGTGTCGCGAGGGGCGTCGAGGATAAGTGCTCATATGGCGAGACTCATGCGTAGGTTCTCTTCAATTCTTATTCGTGATTCTAAATCCAACGAGTTGCTGTTGCTTATGCAATGTAAATATCTCTCTATGTTGCGGTTAGTCTGCCCGAAGCTGTCCACAGATCAACTGATACACTTTGGATAGACCACGACAAAACGAGAATCAGCACAGTGCGAGCTCCACTCAGCCAAGAGAGGTCCTGTTCCTTGCGGATGAAGGTGCGGATGATCCTCTAGTCGGGATTCCGGAGATCCGTGAACAGTTCGGGTACTCGGCCGTGGCTGGAAGCAATGCCTTAGTCGGCCTGAAAGAAGTGAGTTTTGTATTAACATCAGGAAGCGTCTAGGCTGAAGCTCCCCAGCTTCTCAATGATGAAGTCCATTTCCGCACCCTCACGACCGTATCTGGTCAGTCGAATGTGTGTCCCGCAGACACATTCTGGACACTTGCAGCTCAGTTGCCTCCCACTGCACGAATTCAGGAACTGACGGACCTGTACTTTTCGGAGGTCAATTGGCAGTATTCGATACTTGATCGGTATTACTTCAACGAGCACCTTGTTCGCTGGCTGAGTATCACAAGCCATGGCCCTAGCCGTCCAAAACTCGCCAGCTTATCGCAGGACATGCGCTATTTCCCTGCATTGCTGTTGCAGGTGTGTGCTTTGGCACTTCAATTCTTTCCAGTGGACAGGGCTTCTTCCCATCAGGAAGGAAGCACGACAGATGTGCATACCAGACTATCCAAAGAATACAGCGATACCGGAGTCAAGCTCGTGTGGGTGTTGGGTCGTCACGATACCACCATCATCGGGGTACAGCAAGACTTTCTTAGAGCTTCCTGGCTTAAAAACTGTGGACTTGTCACAGAGTCATGGCATTCCCTAGGCCTTGCGATAAGGTATCTTCTGTCACCTCGTCACTTGATTCCTGGCGCCACTGTCCTGACGCGTATTCCAGACAAGCACAGGAACTTGGTTTGCACCGGCAGTCCGTCATGCGTCAAGCGGTAGGACGTAGCAAAGAGGAAACACTCAGCATGCTTTGGTACGATGAATATAAGAGGCGACTATGGATGAATCTGTTCATCTGGGACGGGTACGTCAAACTCGACCGCATCTCTACTTGAACTGACCACCCAGCCATACTGCGGTAGTTCTCGGCCGGCCAAGGTGTATCAACGAGAGCGACTGTGATATCAAGACCCCAATCGATTGCGATATCCCGCCGCACCCTACAGAAACCCTGCCCATAGCCACCGGGCCTCACGACAAGCCGTCAGCATTCTCCGAACGTCTCTTCCAGTACCGACTCGCGCGCAAGATCCACGAAATGCGCGCTCTGGGCGCCGATCGACCGGCTCAAGAAGATTATTCCGTCGTGGACAACTTCCACAACCAGCTGACCTCGATGCTGGACTCCGTCCCTACGTACCTACGACCTCACAATCCCGACACGTCTTGGGATTCTGAGTTCCGTTTCTTGCCTCTGCAGCGGGAGTACGTGCTCACGGGGGTGAACGCGACGCTCATGGCGCTGCATCGATCTCACGTCTCGACGCGCCTCGAAAGCCGAGTCGCAGCGCTGGAGGCAGCCACGATGGCACTCGGCTCGCAAAAACGCATGTTCGAGGCCAGTGATCCTTCGTACTACAAGACCTTCACTCTGTCGTTCTGCACCGTCGATGCGGGAGTTCTCCTGTCGGCACTCGCGGTCGCATATCCGCCCGAAGAGCCCGCCTTGACGCAGCAAATCGACACCGTTCTGGGCGAATCCGTTGCAATGCTCGCGGTCCTGCAGAGATACAGTCGGATTGCTCGCTCGGGTCTGCTGGTGCTGAGAAGCTGCCACCAGCGCTTCAAGGATCGTCTCAAGATCCGCCATGTGGCGGAAATCAAAGGCGCAACAGCCGTTCCTGTGGCTGTGACGGCTCACGCTCAACCCTTCGGAATGGAACAGTGGGCCACTCTGGATTCGGGCTCGGAAGGAGTGTTTCCAGACGCCTGGAAGAGCACCGACGGTACGGATCAGATGGCTCCGTCGGACTTCGAGACCGCGTTCCCTACAGGACTGGATGATACGGACATCTGGTCATACACCAGCGATCTCGACTTCTCATACTGGAACCAACACGTTGATCAGATCACAAACGACATATCGGACGCACCAAGTGCTGAATTGACGTGGGACTCATTGCTGAATGCTGGAAAGTAGTCTGGTTGATTGACGCCGACTGACATGCCTACACTCCTCAGTGAATTTGCTGATGGTCTGCCCGATCACCCAGCGACCCTACGCATCTGCATCGCTTGACAACCGTCATCCTGCCAACGACTGACTGCATTTGCGACGCTGTCGACAGCGCAAGTTTCCGAAGCGAAACATCACCCACTCGCCATGCAAAGGACCAACAGCTGCCGCATCACCAGAGGAACAGAAAGAAGGCGTTCTCTTCTCTAATTCAACAGGAATCTTGAGCAAAGGAAGTGCTCTTGCGAGCTGGACACGTTTTCCGAAACGGGGAATTGAACCCCGGCCTTGTCGGCGCCATCGGGAGAGATGAGAGCGACAAATCCTAGCCACTAGACCATTTCGGATCTGTATTCGACTGTGTCAGGGGTCGAAATCAAGACCGATCTGTTCTGATTGGAGAACAGATCGTACCTAAGCGCCTTGCCGTTAGGCCACACGGCCTAGATGTCGAGACAAGTCCGAAGAATATTCTTTATGTTCTTTGGTTGCTGCTGCAATTTCCGAGGGGCAGGCGAAGGTGGATACTGGTATCGGGAGAGCGTGTGAAGAATCGGGTTGCATTTGGCGATAGTTGCCGAGTTTTCAAAGCTTATTTGCAAAAAAAACTAAAAAATCCTGGAATGCCGAGTTGGCGCCGGCGTTGGCTAGGTCGAACCTCGATTCTGTCCGGTGAAGCGAATGTTGTCCACCTAGGAATTGGAACAATGCGGAGGATAAGGATTGGCACGCTCATATATGGCCGTAGCTTTGATAAAGAGATCTCAAGTTCATGTGAAGATAGCATATCACTGGTATCAGCGTCTCGATATCAACCTGTGCTTTACTCGTCAGCAAGGAGCAAAACATTGTGGAGAGAAAGGAGGTGAAGCGATCGTGTGATGGGAGTCAGACGGGACGTGTTCTCAAGACAGCCTCTGCGTTGAATTGGTGAGGAGTTCGAAGAGCTGGGATTATAGAGCAATCGCTCTTGGTCATCATAAAGGGAGGGGCCACAAGACTTCGAGACAGCGACAGATGCACGTACCTCGTCCCGACATTGGAAATCCATCTTTCTTCCTAGTCCTCAGGCACGGTCGTCCTTGCCTCGTCTCGAAGGCGCCTGGTTCTGTAGCTGGCGGTCCTCGCCTGCAGCCTCGACTGCCGTTGCTGGGGGGTTTGGCTAACACCTGGTTGCTGTACAAACCTCCAAGCATTTTGAGAGCCCCCGACCGCGTCCCCCTTCTGGTTGGTGGGTGGTGCTGATGCTTCACCACCATCTGACGCCAAACATCTTGCCCTGACTCCTCTTGTCAAGCTTGCCTTTCTCGGCGTTTTCCAACCATATCCTCTCGTGGCCCGGAACATCGAGGGCCAAGTGGTGATAATGCCAGCCGTCGTCGCCTTTCCTCTTCGTCATGTGTACGTTGACAATGCCCGTCGCAAGCGGTCCCGAGACGTGGAAATGCATATGCATATGCGACGTCCCGATCCGATCCGTCTCAATACGTGATCTGGTGCTCGTTTTAGTCTCCACTGTGGTTCTGCTTCGTGCTTGCAGTTGCAAACGTACGCGATGAACCTATTTCTTGCCCACCGGCTCCAGCTCGCCTCGCCGTACGCCTGGATCTCCCGTCCCTTACCTCGGCCTGCCAAGAGCTCGATGCAACGCTCGTCCTTCTTGATCCGGTCCGCCGTCCGATTGAAGACTGCTATCTTACTGTCCCCGCTGAAGACCTCCAGGTACAGCACCGTGGCTACCCCGCCAGTCATGCCCAAACCCAGCAGGATCAGACCGAGGTTGAATGACTGCTGGGTTGTTCGGGCCAGCTTCTCGCGTGCGGAGAGTTGGCCCCATGGCACAGAACCGGTGTCGGATGTCAGGGTGACGGATCGCCGGGAGGAGGTGGATGAGGTGCCGTGCGGGAGGGAAGAGGTGGTTGCTGCGCGGAACTGGGTCGACGGACGGAGCAGCAGGGGCCGGGACAAGGGGAGGAGTGTGCGGGAGGAGTGTAGGGAGGCCATATTGTTGAACGTGTGATGCGACTTGGAAGAGAGATGTGTGTGATATGATAGCTTCACGGCCCACAGTCCACAGCTCACAGCTCACAGCTCGCAGGCCGAGCTTGAGCTTGCTGGAGACGGAAAGTGGTAGACTTGGCGTTGTGAGGTTTGCTCCGTTTGCATCGGGGCTTTTCTCAGCGTCTCATCCAATTGGAATGGTTCGCATGTGACAGTTTGGAGCATGTTAGGCGCCGCGTGAACCGACGCTTTCGTCATTGTTGAACAAGTGGAATTCTGGCTTTCCGGTCTTCGGCCTTCATCCAATTCATTCAGGAACGACGCAACGTGCCTGCAAAGACTTGTGTGGTCTGGCTGTCTCCGCCTTTGCCTTGACCTGCCTGCTAGCTGTCACACCACACCATGGCAGACCAGTTGTCGCCGTCGCAATGCATATTGCTAGCTGTGCACTACGCCTCGCAATCGAACATCAAAGCACTGCACGCCTTTACGCCCACGCGACAGGATGCTTTCGACCTGGAGCTGGTGCTCCGCATTCTGCTGAGCTATCTTCCTGAGACTGTCGAGCCGTCTTCCTACACAACCTACATAAACGAAGTCTACTCCAGAACATACCTCGAGCAGCAAGCCCCTGTTGAGCTGGATATCTCTTCCGTCAAGGACCTTTCCGACAGCGCAGCTCAGAAGCGGGTCAAGAAGCTGCGTCTCCTCGACCTCATCCCCCGGACTTTCCTCCTCATGCCCCTCAGGATGTGCTCACACGCTTCTTGTGCCATCGCGCATACATGATAGACACCGAAACCGGTCTACTCACGCTCGTCCCTCAGCTCTTTGTCCCCTTCCTTGACCGTTCGGACTTCCTTCGTACATGGTTCGTCTCCGTAGTACTACCTGTTCTTCGGTTTGGATACGAATACTACCCAGGCTCTGAAGCGCCGTTGTCCTTGAGAGACTTCGAGAAGCTAGAGGGAGCGAAAGGCATTGAGCTCCTGTTGTCCAAGGCCAAATACGCCAAGCACGAGATTATATCTGCCACAGACAGCGAAGGCACGGTTGGCAGAGATCTGAGAGGTCTGGTCGGGCCATGGATATACGGTCACACAGAACGCAAGAGGCGAAAACTGGACGAGCAGGACAGCGCAAGGACAAGCAAGGGGAACAAGCGTATCAGTCTCAGCGGCGTGTCTGATGGGGACAAGACCGGTCATGACTGGGAATACACTTTCAAGTGGATGGTCCATCAAGCTACCGAAAACTTCCCACTCGTCACCAATGCTATCGAAGAGTGGGATGGACCTAGTGATGTCGATCTTGGCGGTTACGGGGACGGACACCATTACATGGACGACGACTTGCAAGCAAAGTTCGAGCGGCAGTATGCTCAGGCTTCCTTTGCGTCGTGCTACGCCGTGGCCTTGGACTCCCCGGAGACGATCGACGGAGCGCATGGAATCCTAGTACGATTAGCCGAATTGCTTGACTTCGAGCCTCCTCCGGATTTGGCGGCCAGTGTGGAGCAATTGCCCAAGGTCGATAGTCATGCGTCCATGCTGCACGAGTCAGAGTCGACTACGGTGTTGGAACCCGATTCATTACTGCGACCGGAGCATCCTCTCACGACCCCGAGAATGGAAACCTATATGCTTCTGCAAATGCTGGTATATTCGGCATACCAGTTAGCAGGTCTCGGCCACAATATATCGATTGTCAACGTGGCGAGACTGCGATTCTTCAGCGACGAGGATGAGCAGATGGCGTTGATGCAGAAGATCCTTCATGGCCTGTGTCAGAACGGGAAACGTGACGATCAGGAATGGACGAACGACCGGAACAAGCTGCTGTGGCTGTGGGACTGGGGTATTGATAAGAACGAAGGCGCGGTGAGAGGCGCAGGCATATTCGGGAATATCGATCGGTCGTACTTCGAAAGAGAGGCGCTCAATGCGATCATAGGAACGTCAAGTGAGTCACCCGTTCCTTCACTGGAGAAGCTCTCTGTTTCTTGAGGTCGTTTCAAATTCCGTGGAGATACGAAATTTTGGCACAGAGTCCTCTGCGACCAGGCTGGACGTGTTTGTATGCGATTATAGAGGCTAGAGGAATGCTCTCAATGAACATCAATATCACTCAATACCTCCTCCACCAGGAGTCAATGCGCCACTATGGTTTCAGAAGGCTGACGGAGGCTCTACTATTCCAGACTTGTCCCTCGCAATACACCTCTACGTCTTACACCTCCCACCTACGGCAAGACTGGCGCAGGAAGAGGTCCGGCAGGTGGTCCTTGATCAGGCCATGTACTGCTACGACAATGCCAGCAACGGAAACCGAACCAGAGGCGGCATGAAGAAGGCCTCCGACATGTAAGCGGCAATCATCACTGGTGATTGGTTCCACACTAACATTTTGCTAACCACGTGTAGAATTAACACCTTCAGCCCGCACTTTCCCAACAGTCTCGACTTTAAACAAGCTTCTTCCCTCATCGCAGCTACCCACTCCCTGTCATTCTACTCTCTAACCCTGCAACACGGCGTTCCATTCCAGCCCGTGAACATTCGCGTGAGCAAGGATCCGCTTTCCCTTCTCGAGAAAGTGCTCGAGCAAAACTCCAATAGCTACACCAACCTCGACGATCTCATCAACATCGGCCGGAATCTGGTATCTGCCGGCCTGCCTCAAGAAGAAGCGGGCAACGGCCCCACAATCGAGCGTCAAGAAAGCCAAGTCGAGAAGTCAGCAAAGCTCACCCACGCCGAACGCCGCGTCATAGCCATGTGCATCGAATCCGCGCTCGCGTCCGACGACTTCGAAACCGCTTACTCCTACATCATGAACCGGCTGAGCCCGGACTCGGCCTCCCTCCCCTCTCCCTCTCCCCTCTCCACCTGCGGTGTCCAACCCGGCCCCGACGCCGGACGACGATCCCGCCTGGCGCGCGGCCTTCCTCGCCGGCCGCTACCGTGGCCACACCGCCACGCCGCCCTCCCTCCGCCGCCTCGAACAGCGCACCGAGTTGCTCTCCCTCGCTTTGCTCATCGCGCCGCCCTCGGCCCTGTCAGAGATCCTGACGGTTTGGCGGAGATGCGAGGAGGAAATGACGGCCCTCCTCGCCCGGGAAGCGGACGCGGAGCGGCGGTTCAACGACGCCGCCGACAAGCGCGTCCACGCCGGCAGCTCGGGACTCCCCGGCGGCTTCGACGATGACGGCACCAAGGGCATGGTCTTCAACCAGCCGAGGCGGGAGATGGGCAGGGTGGGTTTGTCGGGAGGAGGCGAAGCCGGGCGCCCATTCCCGAACCGGCACCACGGCGGGCGCGAGACGGCAGGCGCAAGAGGAGGCGCC